AGCGTGTGGAGCGTGCACTGTAGAGAGTCAGGTCTCTATAGGATCCTGCTGGAGAGGCAGCCCACTGGGCTCGCCACTTCTCCAGAGGAGGGACTGGTCCCTTGCCAGACAGCCCTGACAGCTGGAGCAGGCTTCCTCAGGGGTGCCTGGAACTGCTGACCACGGCTGTTGCCCACTGGCCCCTCTTGGGAAGAGCAACCTGTCAGGTGTTAAAGATGGTCTTCCTTTCTCTTCTCCAAGCTAAACATGACTAGTTTCCATCTCACCATCTTCTGGCCCTCAGCAGACTGGTTATCCAGTCTGGAGAGGCAACAGTAGTATCCAGATGTGATCTGAACAGACAGAACCATGGATGCAGACACAAAATTCAGGTTTGTGTGCTTCGGCAGTCACTATATGCAAATTGTAATGGGGACAGTGGCTGGCATGGCCTCCAGCACTGTGGGGAGGATCAGGGTGTCTGCCCATCATTTTTCTCTCTTTGATAGACACTATTTACATAGACACTGTTTTGGTGTAAAACCCTACGTTGTAGCCCTTGTCAACAGTGTTATGTTTCTCCTCAACTGTCCCGGAAACTCCCTGAGTAGGCAGGAGGTTTCCTGGCTGGCTTGTAGGCACTCCATACCTGTTAGCTAGTATTATTTATTTGTTGTTTTATTATTTGAATGGACAATCATTCATGTCATTTAATGAGCATGGGCTATGTGCCAGAAACCACCAGGTGCCAGAATGCAACGCTGAACTACAATAGACCTGTCCTTGGCCCCCAGAGCTCCCAGACACGCTAGGAAGACTTGTTGATTGAATGATAAACCTTGATGGAACTCATGATTAACATCTTCACCACCAGACATCATTGAGTGCTCTCTGTGTGTTCAACTCAGAACATACCCTTCCTGTACTCAGAGACTAGAATGTGAGAGTCATTAAGGGAGACACCATTGTGGGAGTGAGAAAATCCTGGACTTGGAACTGACTAGGGATCACCTCCCAACTCTGCCATGAACCCACTGTGTGACCATGGGCAAGTTACTTGTCCTCTCTGAGCCTCAGTTATCTTATCAGTGAAATTGGGTTAATAATATATCTCTCAGTGGCACAAGAGGATCAAATAGGGTCACCACACTCCACAACTCCAGGAGATGCTGTTAACATTTTAGTCTATGGATCCTCTGGTGGCCTCAGATTTAAATGAGAGCACTTTTGCTATGTGACCTGAAGTTAATGTCAATAAGTTATAGCTATTGTTATGTATGACGTAAGCAGGGGTCACTGCAGGCCAGCAGGCTGACACAATTTGGCCAGGCTTTGTTCTTCAAGGAAGGGCAGGGCTCTGAGAAGTACAGACTATGATGCAGGTGAAGGCCAGGAGGCAGGGACTCCCAGGGCAGGTCTGGAAGGAGTGAGGCTGGTGAGGGAAGTGGTCAGCAACCTCAAGGCATGAGTAAGGCGCTTGCCCTTCTCTCCAGGCACAGAGGAGCCGCTCGAAGCTGGGCACAGAGCTGGGATGGATGAGACCAAGGCGAATACTTTACTTATTAAGCTGCAAAGGACCCTAGGGAGCATCTTGTGCAGCATCTTGTCTTACCAGGTAAACAAAGGCCAGGGAGGGAAAGTAGTGAGTCTCCAGAGTCACACAGCAAGGACCAGGGCCCAGGCCAAGACTCCCACCCCTGCAGAGCCGAGCTCAAATTATTCCTTGAGCCCAGTTTGTGGCTCCACAAAAGAAAGTTCCTGGCACTTTTTATATTTATTTATAATTTTTTTCTGATTATAAAAGTAATTATAGGCCAGTCAAGGTGACTCACACCCATACTCCCAGTACTTTGGGAGGCCGAGGAAGGAGGATTACGTGAGCTCAGGAGTTCGAGACCAGCATGGACAACATGGCAAAATCCTGTGTCTACAAAAAATTAGCTGGGCGTGGTGGTACATACCTGTAGTCCCATCTTCTTGGGAGGCTGAGGTGGGAGGATCACTTGAGCCTGTGAAGTCGAGACTACAGTAAGCTGAGATTGCACCACTGCACTCCAGCCTGGTCAACAGAGTGAGATTTTGTCTCAAAAAATAAATAAGTAAAAATAATTATAGGTCATCATGGAACATTTTTAAACTATAGAAATATTTAAAAAATTTTTATATTATATCACCTGTAATCCCACTATCCAAAGGTAATTACCTTTAGTATTGTGATGTATTCTCCCCATCTGTATTCCACAAAAAATTATATGTTAATTAGATTTGAATTGTGTTGCATATAGTTTCACATCCCCCTTTTCCCCTGTAAAATTGTGCTTTATGAGAAGGAGGGATTGTTTTTAATGTAGAAGAAACTCTAGAAAACCTTTTTTTTTAAAAAAAAAAAAAAAAAAAAAGCAAAGCCCCACAGTCTGCAGTGGTTGGAGGACATCCTGTGGGGCTGCACGGTGGCTCTGTCGCACATCCGGTGTGAGCTGCAGGGTGGTGGCAGTGGCTGGGTCCTTTTCTCCCCTGGCCAGGCTACACCCTTCTGCCTATGGGTGAGACAGAGTTTTGAAGCGTCTGCGCTTACCCCTTCCTTCCTAACACAGGATGCTGTGATCATTCACCCTATCAAAAGGCATGTGGGGTTGTGATCGTTACTGTTTGCATCTCAAGCTGTGCAGCACAATGTTTTCTCGTGTGTTATCTCACCTGAGACTCACACATCCTGTGAGACAGATAAGACAAATGATGTTGTACCCATTTTACAGATGAAGAAACTGAGGCTACAAAAGGTCTAGTGGCTTATTCGAGGCCACATAGCTAGTAAGTGGCAGAGCAGGGACTTTATGCAGATCTAGCTGGCATCCAGTAACTTTTTTTTTCCTCTAAACTTTTTTTTTTCTGGTAGTCCTAGCTTTTCCAGAGCTAAACTGAGTCCCCTTAGTATCCCCTTATTAAGGCCAAGGACTGAGAGTGTTATGAGTATTACGGATGTATGGAGGGGCCATGCAACTCCTTCCTGGGAGTCTTAAGCCAAGCCCTGTGGCCTCTGACTAGTTGTCCTAGGTGGCCTGACCTCAGCTCACTGAGGTTTGGGGAGGGGGCTCAAAGAGGCAGCTGCTTCCTGTAGAGAGGTCTAGCAGAGGCACTATCCTGGGGGCATCCTTCTTGACCCCCTCCATGCCATGGAGACCCATTTCCTGCCCAGGCCTCTAGAGTCTGAGCTTCTCCCAGAGGGAATGGAGTTTTTCACAGAGAGGCTGTAGAGCCTTCTGAGGCTGAGTCTAACCCATGTGCAGGGATTTTGGGCAGCTGCATCCCCCAAATGGTTTCCCAGTGGATCCGTTTCCTATTGCTGCTCTAACAAACTATCATAAACAGGGCTTGAAACAACACAATTTTTTTCTTTTTTTCTTCTTCTTCTTTTTTTTTTTGATACAGGGTCTTGCTCTGTCACTCAGGCTGGAGTGCAATGGTGCAATCTTGACGCACTGCAACCTCTCCCTCCTGGGCTAGACCATCCTCCTACCTCAGCCTCCCAAGTAGCCGGGACTAAAGGCATGTGCTACCACACCTGGCTAATTTTTTATATATTTTATAGAGATAGGGTCTCACTATGTTGCCCTGGCTGGTCTCAAACTCCTGGGCTCAAGCAATCTGCCTGCCTCAGCCTCCCAAAGTACTAGGATTACAGGTGTGAGCCACTGCACCTGGCCCATTTCTTTTCTTATAGTTCTGCAGTCAGAAGTCCAAAACAGGTCTCACTGGGCTAAACTCAAGGTGTCAACAGAGCTGCATTTCTTCCTGGGGGCTCTAGTGGAGAATCTCTTTTCTTCCTTTCCCTTTCCAGCTTTTAGAGGCTGCCTGCATTCCTTGACCTGCAGCCCCTTCCTCCACTTTCAAAGCCAGCACTGGCTGGTCAGGTCTTTCACAATGTGATCTCTCTGGTTCTGACCCTTCTGCCTCCTTCTTCTTCATTTAAGAACCCTTGTGATTACACTGGGCCCACACCAATAATCCAGGGTAGTCTCTATATTTGCAAGTGAGCTGGTTAGCAACCTTAATTCCATCTGCAGTTTTAATTCCTCTTTGCCATGTAGCAACATATTCATAGGCTCATGCATTAGAACGTGGACCTCTTTATTCCACTGTGGACCAATATTCTGCCTTCCACACCCAGCCTCTCTTCTGAGTTTTCCAAGGGCCCCCCATCCTCAGGCATCCTCAGGAATCCTCAGGCATCATCAGGCATAGACAGCGGGCTGGGCCAGACCACAGCCAGCATGTTCCCACCACTATCAGAGAGGTCCTTTCTGCCCAGGTCCCCTCCCACCTGCCTGCTCCTCTTTCAGCTCGTTCTGTCCTGGATTCCTCTTCCTTCATCCTCTGCTCCCAGTCTTAGGTAGAGAGGAGCTGGGCAGGAAGTGCCAAGGGCTGTGGAGATGGAGGAGGGGGAAGGTAAGGCCTGAGGCACCAGGGCTGTGGGAGCCCAGGGAGCTGAGGCCTTTCAATCCAGACACCCTGCACTTCTTAGGGTCTGGGGCCTCTGGGGACCACACACTGAGCTCCAGGGCTGGAGGGGTGGCCAGCCAAGTATTAGACCCTTCCACCTGTATGTCCCTAGCTGCCCTTAACAGCCATAGTTCACCTGGCCCTTTTCTTGGGTGATAACAGACTGTCTGCCTTCATTTATTCCCTTTCCCCTGTCCCTCCCTAGGCCTCAGGCTGGAACCTTATAGTCCCAGCTTCTCGGGAGGCAAGGCCCCAGCCATGCCTCTGTCCCTGAGCTGCTTGGTGTGGGCATGGGGGATCCAGAACCCCAGCAGGAGGGCAGATGGCAAGCACAGGGCAGGAGGGGCTGGACAAAGCCTTTGGCCCTCAGGGAGGGTGACCAACTGGCCCTGGTTTGCCTGGGACTTGCCCAGTTTTAGCACTGAAAGTCCCAAATCCTGGGAAACTCCTTGGTCCTAAGCAAACTGAAACAGTTGGTCAGCCTATCTCCAAGCCCTTTCGCACCTCCTAATCTATTCTAGATCACCTCTGCAGCCTGTACAGCTGGGCCTTTGGACTCCTGGATACTAGAGAGACCTGGGCGCTGAGGAAGGGTCCCGAGCCAGTACCAGGAAAGGACAGACTCCTGCTTGCAGCATTCCCAGCAGAGATATCGCCTGTGGACACCACGTCTGTGTCTGCATATGGCAGAGCTCCCACATATATGCACAAGGGAGTGAAAAAATGTGTTTGCACCCCAGTCTCTAAAAATTCAACAGCCTGGTTACTTCTGGGTGGTATATTGCAGGTGACTTTAATACGTGTTATTTGCTCATCTGTACTTCTTACTCTTTGTACAATGAAACCATGTTCCTTTTACTTATGTACATTTTTAATAAAAGAAAGTTGTTAATGACTCAGCCTTCTATCTCCAGTCCTGCCGAAGGAGACAAGCGGTCATGCTGCATGTTGTACACACACTGGCCCTTGGTCTGGGGCCTTTGACCTTGGCTGCTGGTTGGTCATGGCCTGTTCTGCCCAGGGTTCTACTGCAGGGGCAGGGTTGGTTATTTCTCTGTGCCTTTTTGCCTCTCAGCCTGCTTGCTCCTCTGGACCCCAGAGTCTAGCCTGGTCCCCCCAGGGGAGGGACTCAGAAAGTGCTACTCTAGAGACATGCTAACTACATCTCTGCTGAGCAGCAGGAGATGCTCTGAAGTGCCAATCCTGGCTGAACGCTGTGAGAATATGGAAGAGATCAGCTGCTTGCCCCTGGGGAGCTTCCAGTCTGGTTGGCGAGATTGGGTACCCTGCAGCCCTTGTGGGGACTGGCAGACAGGAAGGGACAGGCCCTAGAGGGTGAGGCTTTGCCTGTGAGGGCTGTCACCAGTCAGAGAAGGGAGGGCCCCAGGGCTCCATTGCACACATCTTAGGATGGCCAGAGACCAAAACTGGGGTCCTCCTCAGTGACCTGAGGCAGGCCCCACAAGCTTGCGGGTAGATGGTCTCCTGGGCCCAGAACTCTGGCTGCTTGCCACCTATGACAGAAGAATGGTGATGAACACTCACCAGGCTGTTCCAAGTCTTTGAAAGCTGGACACCCCCAGGTCCTCCTCCCTGCCCCACCCCACCCCCACCCCATATGGGAATGCCAGGCTGTATCCTTCGCTGTGACCTATCCCAACTCCAGCTCCTCTCCGCATCCCAACAAGCCAAGCAGGAGCACTTGGAGGGGAGCCCTGGGTCCCCAGCAGAAACAGCCCTCCACTGCCCCCACAGTCAGGCCATCAGCCCCCACCCCAGCCCCCACACCGGTCCACCGTTGCCCTGGTGTGGCCGACATGACAGGACTTCTTGTAATTCTGGCCTAATGGCTCCCACATCCCCAAACACCAACTCCATGTCCATATGCCTCCCTTGTTCCACAAAGCCGGCTTTCTCCAAGAAACCAGAGAAGCACATGATCCCTGCCACACCTCTCCTGGGGCCTCCCTCCTGATCTGAGATCCTGGGTATATCCCGTGGCCTCTCTGAGGGAAGGTAGAGCTGAGTTGTGTGGGGTTTTTTGTTTTTTTAACCACTGTGTAAGAACTCACTACTTGGGCCCCAATTCTGGACAAATTCCAGATTGACAGTGTGAGGGAGAGGTGGTAGCAGAACTGGACATCCCCACAACATTGTTGCTTTGAAGGAAAGAAGGAGGGCAGAAACAGGAGGGGACCCAGCATTGGCCTGAAATGGATGCAAAGGCCTCACCCAGGCTGCCCCTCTGGGCTGGCACAGGAGGGCAGGGGAGAGCCTTCCCTAAAGGAAGCCTGCAGGTGAATCCCAGCGCCCGCCTGATGTAGGGTAGCAACTGGCCACCTGCCAGAGGTGCCAGGTGTTCTCAGGGATCAAGAAACCAGGAATTAGGCCCACCAAAGCCATAGGGTCTGACCCGAGCCTGGTGGCTGGGAATGAGGAGGTATCTGTGCATGGTCCTGAGTCTCACAGTCAGCCACCCAGGGTCCAGATCTCTAAGGAACCCCAGGACCTAACAGCAGGTCTGGTTTAAAGCAGGAGAACAGGAGACTACGTTGTCTTGCTGAGACAGAAACATGGCTGAAAAGTCCTCTTTGATCCTGGGAGCTGAGATAAGGCCTAGCAGGCCAGAGTCCCCTGTTTGCTCCAGACAGGCCTGCTGTGGCTGAGCTGCCCCCTGCACTGAGGCCAAGTTACAAGCCTGTCTGTGTCCCGGCCCCTGGGGGCCCCACCCTTCGAAACTGCAAGTGGCCTCCAGGGCATAGGTGGGGCATTGCTTCCCTTGAGGACCAAGCCAAACCCTACCCTGTTGGGGCCCTGGGGCCTGTAGCAGCAAAGCCATGTTGCCAGAGGTGTCGGAAGCTGTGTGTGCTGGGGGAAGGGAGGAGATCTGAAGGCAGGACAGCAGCTGCAGCTTTTGCTGTCTTCCCTCAGCATCCACAAGTGCTTGCTTGGCATAAGGTGCTCGGGGCCTGCCCCTTGCTAGTTCTCCCCAGCTTCTTGTGTAGGCCTCCGTGTTCTTCTCTCAGGCAGCCTGATATGGAACCAACCTGGATTCTGGGCACAGACAGATGTGGGTTGGAACCAAGGTTCTATACTGATTAGGTGGTGAGAGTTGGTTTCCTGGTCTGTGAACAAGGGCCGTGGTGGGGTGCCAGTGCCGTGGTGCACACGGGGTGCTTGGCACAGCACCCAGCACAAACTGAGCACTCAAGACCTGTGTTGCCATTATCCAGCCAGACTTTGAGGTCTTTTCCAGTTCTGCTCATTTGTGAGCTTGTGGGATCATCTCCTTGGGTGAGGAATGATGGGCTGGACGTCTGCCTCCCCTCTTTCATTCAGTCCCCATGTCCTTGCTCCATAGCCTCCACTATCTCCCCAGCTGAAGTTTCACTCAGCACAGACTCTGGAGGCCTGTGTCTTACCACTGAGCCAGCAGACGTGGGCTTCTATAACTCCTCACCCCGAGAAAACCAGCATAAATGGGTCTCTTGAGAGCTGCCTGGAGCTAGGAAAACTATGTGGCCAGCAGCTATACCCTTCTGCTGCCTTAGACTTGGCCCCACAAGGGAGCTCCGGATGAAGACGCCAAGCTCCAACCTGCCAAGTACTTTCACCCCTGCAAAAGGAGGGCACCAGCTCCCCCTTCTCCCACCCCAGGCCTCCTTCCTCTGTGACAGCTGGCAGAACTGGGGAAAGGTTAGTGCTGAGTTCTGATGAATTAGAGGATTAGTCGTGCCCAAGTTAAGGAATAGCATTACATCTGATAGAGACGAAAGCTTTCTATAGGGTCACTGTATTAGCCCTGGGTGCTCCAACAGGACTGCCTGGAGGACATCTGTACCCCTTTTCCCCTCCACATATAAGGGCAGATTTTTGGATCTGTGCACAGTGTGAAAGACCAAGTGGTCCCAGAGAATGACAACCTGGCTGTTTCCCAGCCCCACCAACCGGAGGCATTACTGCTAGAAAAAAAAACTCCACCTCCCAAGGCTACCCCAGGATTTCAGTTCCCACTTTGGCAGGCCCCACTGGAGACTTCCAGAAAAATCAAAGAAAGTTCTTACCTTTGGAGTTGTAATGGTCACAACACCCTGCACACAGTGCACTAAGAGATGTTGAAAGCTGACTCACCAAGAAGGGGTGGTTTGCATATTAGCTTCTAGCTTTCTTCCTATTGCCAAGTGAGCTGAATGAATAAACCAGCCCAATGAAAGTGACACCTTTGGAGTTAAGGCAAGGAAGCCCATGACTAACCACAAATGCCCTCAAATGTCTGTAAACTTGGCCCAGTATGAGAAATCTAGCTGGTGTGGCTGAGCACCACTTTGTCAGTTTACCCCAGTGGAAAGTGGTCCTTGATGACAATGATATCAGCACAACCCCAACAAAACAAATCTTTCAACAACCTCCTAGCTCCCTCAACCTACAACTTCCACCATTAGTGCTTATACTGAAACTCTGGAGAATGACCCACAGAAGCACTGTCAGGTCCTTAGAATGATCTAATTATTAAGCACAAACTTGGTTCAGATCTTACTAATACTGCTCTGTTTCAGGCATTGTTTGGCTAATGACTCGGTAGTGTCAGCTGCCATCACCTTTAGGTGAGCTGTCAGACCTTATTTTGTTTCTTTTCCTAGGAAAAGGGTGAGGTCTTGGTAGGATGCGATGGGACAGCTCTCCATCCTGAAAGGTCTGGCTCTATCCCACACTACTCCAGGCTTGGTCCCTAGGACCCAGCTCCATTGTGATGGGTGCCTAGGGAGAGTTTTGAGGTCCCTCCCTGGAGATTCCAAGCAGTTGCTACCAACTGCTCCTGGTATCAGAGGGAACTCCTGGCATCAGAGGGGATGGGGAAGTTGAGGACTTCATCTTGGTTGTGGAGATTGGAAGCTGATGGACATAATTCCTCTCTCTTTTTGGTAATTTACAAGCAATTAACTTTGCTTTTAGAACTTGAGAGATTTCCACAGCTGCCCAAGACTTCACATACCCACTGCCTACCCTCCATCAGGGATTAGATTGAAGGGCAGGAGAAAGAGAAGTCAGAGCTGCTGCTTGTTCTGGGTGGTGTCCCTTTCCTCCCATCAGTCCACTCTACCTTGCTCCACACCACCACCTGCCATCACCCACTAGGAGACCCCAGATGGAAGCCACAGGTGGCCAGCCACCTCAATCCAAATCTTAAAAAGGGCTGGTCCGTGAAGGAGCTGAAAAAGGCCATCCTGTCTAGCCTTCTGTTCCCAGGTGAAGCTATTCTTGAGAAATCCAAGTGGAGTGGAGCTTCCAAGTGGAACTTTTTTTTTTTTTTTTTTTTTGAGACAGAGTCTCGCTATGTTGCCTGGGCTAGAGTGCAGTGGCATGATCTCAGCTCACTGCAACCTCCACCTCCCGGGTTCAAGTGATTCTCCTGCCTCAGCCTCCCTAGTAGCTGGAATTACAGGTGTGCACCACCACGCTTGGTTAGTTTTTTTGTTTTTCAGTAGAGACAGGGTTTCACCATGTTGCCCAGCCTGGTTTCAAACTCCTGAACTCAGGCAATGCACCCGCCTCAGCCTCCCAAAGTGCCAAGATTACAGGTGTGAGCCACCACACTTGGCCCAAGGGGAGCTTCTGACAAGCAGGGCCTGGGATGGGGGCCTGTCCAGGCATCCACATATAGAATATTTACCCAGCAGGAGTCCACCGGCCACTCACACATCATCTCCAAGATCAGAGACCAATACTTCCTGAGCTTGACAGAGGATGAATGTGTCAGACTGACCTCTGCCCATTTTGTAGTTTTCTCATCATTTTCTCACTCAGTCTTCCCTTTTCAAGGGCCCATACTCTTCCAGAGGGCTGGGCCTAGTGAGTGGGGTCACAGTCCATATGGTTTCTGGGACTGAGAATGTGCAAG